GAGTCAGGCTGATAGGAGAACGTCTCCTCCAAGCTGACTGTTAACTTGGTATGCACGGTTATGGGGGGAGAGCTGCACATTTCTCACCTTTCAGAAGTTCATCTGCAATATCAGAGCCCACTGCAGTTTTATTTTCAGAGGACCTCCCAGATGTGTGATTGCTGTGATGTTGGCACTGACAATGGATGTTCAAAAGCCACGTGAGTTGCTAAGCAAAGGTTTAAGTTGTAGCTTGGAACTTTTGACTCAAGTCCTTCCTAGGTGAGGTGTTTCTTGTTGGTGGAGGTAAGGAAGAATGTTATGTGCAATGGATTACAAAATCCTAGTATTACAGAGTACGGATCTTTCTGCAACAAGTTGTAGGATTGCAAAATCCAAAATTGCTGAGGCTCTGCCTAAGACCTATTTTAAGGTCTGTTGGTTTGTTCACATTAAGTCAAAATAAACTGTATCCTTTTTACTCCTGGTGTAAGATTAATGCAGCTCTGGGAATACTTTGTAACTTCTGTTGACGATCCACAATAATTAATTAAAGCTTTGACTGCCAAACTCTTGGACAAAAATAATGCCAAAAATGCTGCTTTTTTAGTATCCTAGATTTAACTTGTAAGGCATGGAGTTAGGCTAATTAAACTAAGTCTGGTAGGTAGTGAGAAACAAAGTACAGTTTCCTTACAGTTAGTTTCAGAATAAAATGGTAAGGAGTAAATTCTTCTTTAAACAGAGAAGTTTTTGTAAAGAAGCAGAATTTATCAGCTCTTAACCTTTAAAACTGTCACCCCCCTTGTCCCTCGTACCATTTCAATTCTGCAGAACGTCTGTTTAAGGAGTGTGCTGCTGGTTTCTGTTCCTATCTCCCGAAATCGTTTTTGTGGGTGAGGCTTTCTGGATTTGAGTGCCATCTTGTGGTGTGTTGTAAGCATCTGAGGAAAGGTAATAAACTTCCTTTCATTGTTAACCTGTAAGGATTTGGTTAGTATAGAGATGTACCAAGTTGTATTTACCATGGAAAAATACTCATTGTACAGTGATCTGCATTTTTTCCGCTGTGTTTAGCAGAAGACATTGCTCCTTTGTGCCTAAAACTTTCATCAGCTCATTTTAATTACTTAAATGGGTGGCACAATGGAATGAGCCCTGAAAATTTTATAGCTAATATAGACTGTGGTAGCCTGCTAGCTGTGTTAATACACTACACTCGTCTTCTCTCAGGAGGTATGACTTCTAATTGATGGTGATGTATAGTGAATAAAAAAAAATAATCTGTTGGCAACATACAGGTACATTTAAGTTCTGTTTATTTCAAAACTGGTTTAGTTTCTTTGCTGTAAAATTGGTATCAGTGGAGAAGCTTAGTGGAGAATCAGTGGAGAATCTTCTTGTTTAAAGGACAACAGAAAATTTCCAATCATGAATCCAAGCTGTGAAATTTTTCATTTAAATAAAATTGTGTGTAAAATGGTGCCCTGCCATTTAAAATATCAAACCATTATTTGCATTGGAAGTAGATGTTGCAGGAGCTGTGCACATTATTTTACCTTGTGTATACTGGGTGAGTATAGGACACAAGATATAGCAGTAACACTTTCCATTGAATATTTTCTGACTCTACAACTTTCAGCCTATTTCTTTACTATAGCTGGGCTAAAGCCAAAAGGAAGGTTTTGAACTTTTTAGTTGTATAGATTGACCCCCAAAATGATAACAGTATAGCTTATGTGAGTGCGTGTGTGTGTACGTACATGTGCACAAAAGCTCACAGTGGCTTAAAAGATGAGTAAAGGAGGTTGCATCGGTAAAAGTAGGTACAGTTAAAGGTTTGGTACAAAAATGTTCTGGAGTTAGCAAGAGCGTAGGTATTTTATTAAGATCTCATTTATGACAAATAAATAAAATTAGCTATCATACCACATATCTAAAAGAAAAATAAAATATTAGAGATGCTGGGGGAAGGGAAACCTCATTTGTGTCTCCTAATGGAGGTTGAAAGATTGCAAGCAAGCTGACGCAACTTCGTGGACCATTAGTATCAAAGGTTGTTAATACAACTAACAAAACTCATGTGGACATCTGATCTTTGTTGCTGGTTGAGTCAAAAGTCAATGAAACAGATTAATGCAGCCTCTGTTACTGAGCTTAGGAGGGCAGAATGAAACCAAAAGATTTGCCTTTGTTTGATACAGTAAATAAATGTCAATCTGGAGAGAGAAACCTCAGAATGAAGAAAAACAAGAAAACCCAACCTGCCCAGATGGACAACTCATTCTAGTTTCTTATGGAAGAAAACCCCCTTCATCTTTACAATGGTCGTGCTAAAACCAAATGCACAAAATGGGTATGGCCAGATTATGTTGGCCATTATCTTAATGCTTGTCACTGACAGGCTAACAATCGTCCCATATACTTAGGGGTTTTTTAAAAAATGGATGAGGAGATGGTAGCTAGATTAATCACTTAAAAACAAAAAAATTGAATTTCTTAAATTCTTAATTCTTGATTTAGATCTGCTTGCTTTACGCAGTATGACTTTCTGATATAGCATAAGTTACTCCCAGTTTAAGCACATGCTTAATGATAGATCTCTTCACCTTCACTTTTCGTAGCATTTGGATGTCATAACTATTAACTTTAGACATGGGTTAATGGTACCTCTATGAATGTAAAACAGAAGAGAAAAAGAGCCTTTAAATGCCACCCTTGGCTTTGTACTGCTGACACGTCAGCCTGTGTTTCTTTATCAACACCTTCTGCACCTTCTGCTGGACAAGTGCCAGCCTGGAACATTGTGTTTTCTCCATGAAAGAGCTGTTAGTCTTAGAGGAACAAAACCAAACGTAGTTCTCACGTATAAAAATAAGCAGAAAAACTTACAGGACTGCAGAATATAAACGACCAAGTGGGGTATTGGCACTTTATTTGTGCTCTGTAGCTATGGAAAAGAGGAAAAAAAGGGTTGTCTTTGTATTTGTTTAATTTGTGAGTGCATGTTGTGCAAATGAGTTAATTTATCAGCAAATAATTAGAAGCTGTCAAGAAGTCATGAAGACTGAACACTTTTGAAACAAAACAGACATCTGAATTTCATTTCTTATATGTTGTTTTTATTTTTTGTCAGTATAGGAGAAAAATAAAGTGAGTGTTGTTGACGTACTTGAAGCTGATAGTATCTTCAGATTGCATTGCTGACGTTCTTTTGTGGGTTTGGTGGGTTTCGTAAAGTTATTCAGAACGTGTATGCTTGTAACCATAGTCAAGCAGAACCTAACAAAACCTTGTGCAAGAAAATGCTTTTAAAATTACTGATTTTTAGCCTGAGATACTGGCCAGCTTTTGCCTTTTTAAAAAATAAATTATGATAATGTAGTGCTTTCTGCACTATATTTACGAAAATGCTACTGTTCGAACGGTTCTGGGTAGAAAAAATTATAGAATACATCGGAGGTTTTAGGATAGGTTTGCTTTTATAAGTGGAGGTGAATAGAAGCAGGAAAATACTGTCACTACCTAATTCAGTGTACGTGTTAAATGGTTTATAAACAGTCCAGAAATATTGAAATAGAGCCATATGATTATTCTGTCATCAATATATCTCTGTTACATACAATTTCTTTAAACTCTTCTTTAGGACTTTTACTGGGGTAGCATTAACTGATGCTTATGGGCTAAGTTACATATAAAAACATGAAGGGATAAGCATTTTATATTGCATCACATAATCAAGATTTATTCATTGTTGGTTTCCAGCATTAGCATATCAGCTATTACTCTTCTTTTTTTCTTTTTTTTTTTTCTTTACAGATGATTCTTTGGGATTGGGATTTGAAGCAATGGTACAAGCCCTATTACCAGGTCAGTGTATTATGAATCTAATTATTCTTTTGTGAAATGTGTTTGAGTACAGAGTTCACTGTGAATGGTCAGATTTCAATTTTTCTGTTGATGTTTTATTTACCAAAGTTGTCCTAGTACATTCTAGCTCTGTGTAACAGAGGCTTGATATTTAGCAGTACTGACCAAGATGATAGGGATCTACTTTCTGTGGTGTATATGGGGACAGTCTCAAACCTAACTAGGATGGGAGTAGGTTTTTTGAAATATCCATTAGCATAAGGTCACGGGTGATTCCCCAGCAATTTCACCAAACTCAGGTCTACCAGGTTCTTACCTTTTTTCTTGATGGCTTGTTTCTCCCTGTCTCTCTTGTATCAGCAGTGTCATCTAATCAGCTATTTCTGTTTCTGTTCAGAGAATTATGCTGAGTAAAAACGAATTACTTTTTTGACAGAATTGTTAGGATTTGTTTCAGTAGAACCAGGGGTAATAAAAGCAATGAGACTGTGGAAATTGCACCTCTATAAGGGGTTTACAACAGTTTGCCCACCAAAATTTCTGTTGGTATTATTGGAAGAGAATAGTAAGTTTAATTCTGAGACAAAGTAATGAAAAATTGAGATAAAAAAATGAGCACCAGATCTTTACTTTAAATAGAGGAAAATAAAATGAAAGCTAATGTTGAATTCTGAAATATTTTTTATTGTTTGGAGAAAAACCACAAAAATTGGGTCTGAATGCATCTATATGTATATATATTCTTTAAAAGAAAAATACATTTAATTGATTTTTTAAAATTTATAATGGATAAGATGCTTATTTAAAACTTAGAATGCTGCAGAATGTTTTGACATGTTAATAGTTTGCAACATTTCCATCTATTCTAGAATGCTGGCAGTGGAAATGGAGTTGATCTTCCAGTACTAAATGAGGCTCGGAGCATGCTAACAGAACTCCTGACTGACCCATCCCTTCCACCGCAAGTGATTTCTTCCCTTCGCAGCATTAGTAGTTTGATTGGTGCTTTCTCAGGCACATGCAGGCCAAAGGCCAGTCCATTCACACCATTTCCTGGTTTCTTCCCGTGCCCTGAAATAGAGGATCCCGCTGAAAAAGGAGATCGAAAGCTGCTCAAGGTCAAATGACTTTAATTTTCATTCATGTGTGTGTTGCAATTTTTAAAAAATGATCAAGGAAAATTCATCTGGAAAGAATGTTCCTGAAAGGATAGTAGCTTCTTTACTGAGTACCTGTGAACTATGTTTAAGGTCAAAGGAGAGCAGCTGTGAAAACACATTTGATGAAATGTAGATAGGTACCAAAATGCAGATTCAAGTGGTTGATGGACAGGCAGGTCAAAGCACTGGTCTGGCCTCTGAACACATGATTCCTCGAAATAAACACAGGATTAAAAAAACTAAAAGCAAATGTAAAATAAAGGTGTTATATTCTCATGTTATGGCATAAACAGGGCTATTCTTGATTCTCCAACATTCTTGATCTAACAATTACTGTCAGTGTGGCTTTTTCATTGACTTTTTTTTCCAAAGTAATTTACTCTTGTGAACATCAAACTAGCCATCAGACAGAAGCAAATCAGCTATGTAAAAGGAAAAATCTCTCTTCTTTCTGTGCAGCACATAACTTTATGGGACCAGCGTGTAAATCTACTGTCAATTCTCCATTATCTAGGGTAAATAAGTGAAAGCAAGAATGTAGTTACTATATGACACGTTAAGGAACATGGTGGAAAAACATTCAAATACAGAAACTCAGCTACAGTGCAGCAGAGCTAATAATTCTAGGGTAGCCTGGTATTGACAGCATGAGGCTGTTTATTGTGGAGGCTGGTCTGGGACATCCCTGCCCTGTAGTTCCTTCCATTTCCAGGCAGTGGGCAGCTTGGCCCAAATTGATCCACTTGTTGGCTTTAGTATTTTGGAGCCTGATAAATTGCCTCGAGCCAGATTCAGCCTGTGTAATCTCTGTTGGGAACCATTGTCAAGACAAATGCTTTTGGGGAAAAGCTCACTGTCTACAGATTATTCTGTGGAAGATCCTGCAGGATCATTGCAGTATGAAATTCCTTGGAATGTCACATGGATATCTGCAGAAATCAGCTGGGTAGGGATCACAAGCATTTTGCATGTTTTTATTTGTGGATTTTTTTGAAAACTGCTAAGGATTGGTGTACCAATGTGAAGAATATAATTTATGTGAATGTGAAAATTAACATGATTTTTAAAATTTCTATACAGCTAGTCAGAATTGTTTGAAATTAAGAATGTTCATTGCTGAAGATAGGTTATAAGGATTATGTGAGGTTGAAAGACTATGTTTTTTCACAGCTATTCTCTTTTCCTCCTTCCTAAAAGTAACTTTTCCTTTAAGTTTGGGGGGGTTTCTGTATATTAATTCACCTGGTTGATAAAATAGTGCTTGTAACTATCATTCAATGAATGTTTGACTGTGGTATATGTTTAAGGGTAAGCCAAAAGATCTACTCTTATGTATGTTACTGTAAGGAAGAAAAAGATCTCTCTTTCTTTCAAAAACCAGGTAAGTAAACTTCAGATCATGACACACCAAAGAAAATCATAAGAAAGTACTTCTTCAAAATGGGACCTTTCAGACTATATTGAAAGGTTCCCATTCTCTCTTCCCCAGACTTGGAATATAAAAGGTCTCCTCCATATTTCAAACAAGTTGTTTCTTTGCTGAGGATTATGTACATCTTTATTTCTCTTCCTGACTGGCTTCCAAGGTGCATTCAGTTATAACTTTTTTTTACTTCTGCCTGTTCTCTGTAGTAGTAAAAAAAAAAAAAAACAAGGAAAAGAAAGAATCTGAAACTGGGCTTAAGACCATGGCCTAGCAGTAACTGGTTATCTAATATTTACTCTTCATTCTGACTTTCTTGGTAGTCAACAACTTGGAAAGTGTAAACTGCCCAGTTGGTGCTATTCACTGCTCAGCCTCTTTAAATTCCTAAAAAAGGAAAAGGCAGTCTTAGATAAAAACCATCTCAGGGCTGCTCTGCAACAGAAAGACTTTTCATTTCCATCATGACAGGACTGTCCCCAGATTTCCTAGCATATGACAGTAGACTGCTTGCCAGATTGATGGATTATCATCAGTTGTGATTTTAACAGTCTCCACACTATAGGCAAGTAAAAGTTGTCTAGGCAAGCACTTGAGTATCCACATCCCTTGTCTCTTGGCCTTGTTATTGCTGGTAACTGAAAGTCTTTTCATAATAACTTTGATTTCTGGCACAGTCTAAACTTTGTTTCCAGAGCAACTTTTCCCCTTTGTATAGTGATTACCAGTGACTTTGCTAGCATAGAGTGATCTGGAGTTCCTTGATTCTTCGCTACCCATGTATTGTTTATTCTCTGCTTCTTTATCTAGCAGGGGAAAATTCTGGAGATCTGACATACCCCCAGTGTTCCCTCATTCTTAGTGTAGCCAGGAAGAAAAGTAAGTGCAGGTGCTGGGGCCTGTTTCAGGGAGTGGACCTTTCTTCTCCAATGTTGGGGATTTTCAGCTGTGCTCCCCGTGTTGTAGAGAGCATGCAGGTTAGACTGATGTGGTCCACTGACAGAGAAGTCCACTCTAACCTGAGAGCACTACCACTGCATGGTAGCACACAGAATACGCTCCTCCGGTTCTCTTTCTGGTAGGGCTGGTTAAGGACTGCCGCACGTTTCTGTGCGCTGTATGGGTGGCCTTACTCTGCCTATTCAATTCCACCTTTCTGGCTGTGACTGCAGCTTTGCAGCAAAGCAAACAGAGTCAAGGTACATCCATACCAAGGACTCAAAGCAGTCTCATTTTTCAGGGTAAGAGACTGTACTCCTTTGTGTCAACACTTTAATTTTTTTTTTTTGAAATATGTAATAGCTGTGTGAGTTAAGTATGATCTTTGACCACCTGATGAAACTTAAAATTGCAAAGTCATTATTTCTGCCAGACTTTTGAAGTGGTAGTATCCAAGGGTCACCCCTCCTCACACATGACCCCAGCAGACCTTACTCAATACTGCAAATATTGCTTTGGATTTTTTGTTTTAAACACTTTTTCCTGGCATCCTCTTTACTTTGCAAGGTCTGATTACACACATCTGTATTATGCAGAAGAACCTTCTCCCCCTACTTGCCCTCCCTCCATTGAATGGCCAAATTTAGTGATGAGTTAACAAGTGGATTGTGGACTGAATGCAGTCACAGGGAGGGTTGGGTTTTTTATTTGTTTAAAATACAATGTATAGGTTATCTGTGCAATGGATGGAGATATGCCAGAGCTGGCTTTGCAGTTTCACTTCAGTGATCCTATCCTTTCTATTAGTTAGGTTCTACTAGTTGCTATTTAAACATGGATATACTTTTCTGGGGGTATTTCAGTAAGGTAGAGCTAGTAAGTCCTGAGTTATTTCCACAGAGGACTGTTTGAGTGCTGTTGCCCTGCTTTGCAAAGGGTTTTGTGTTCAAGTACAAGGGTGATTCCCAGTGTTCGGGCTGCAGTGTGCCTAAACTAACACAGCTTCCAGGCTGGGAGTGGTGAGGTGCCTGGGAAGCTTCCTGGCTGCTGTGGAGTGGTATGGAAACAGAGGGGAAGCCTTGATGGACCAGAACTTACCCTGTGCATTGTGTATCACCCTTCCCACAAGTTCCACAGTACTCGCACTGTCGATAATTTAGCATCTGAGTTATTGAAATCTCAGGCTATCCTGGGAGCTGCAGAGATGACTGTGTAGTCGTATGGTTGGGATGTGTAGAAAAAAAAATCTGTAATCCTACAGAAACTGACTATTCTAGAAGATCTCCATTTTTGAAAGCGCTGAAGAGTAATTGTTGGGCCACATGGATTTCAGAGTATAAGTGTCTTCACATATTTTAGTTTGGGGAAAGAAAAAAAAGAGATACGAAAAATAATTATTCCTATTAAGCAAAATAATTTGATCGCATCTTTTATTTTCTTGAGCAATAAGAGTGAATGTAAGGTACCACACTTACTGTTTCACTATAAAAAATAACAATAAATAGTCTTCACAAACAATAAATAAAATTTTAATGTCTGTTTTTAATTATATAGATTTTAACCATGGTTAAATTACTCAGCAGGGATTAAATAGCAGGAATAGCCTGCCAACACCACAGCTGAGACGAACTTCAGGAGTTTCTGGCATTCCACCTATAGAATCAACATCTAGATGGGAACGGAGTAACAGCAAGAGATCTCATCAGGAATATAACACATCAAGGTAAGCACTTAACCACATTTTAAGGGCAATAATAAATGTAGTCTTTCTAAAATGTTCATGTCTGTAATGTTGGAACTTGGCAGCAGAAGTATTTAATGTAAAATCTTGTGAATTAAGCCTCCAAATTCTGCCAGCAAAAACTAAAAAATGTTTCAAGTGAATTATATACTATACTTTGTAACTCTGTTTCATCTCAAGTAGAAATCAGGTCATTCTGAGGCTCAATGGCATGCTCTGTCATAGTAAGTAGGCCTGCACAGCAGTTTTAGTAGGAAATGAAAAAAACGTCCAACGTACACAATTGTGAAACAAACTAGTTTAACCTCTAAACCTCTACTGACTTCCTCCTCCTTTTTAGTTAAAATATATATCACTTTCCAACTTCCACATACTCCAAACTTTGTTTTCTAATTAAAAAGGTAATACAACTTTCTTGCATTTGGTAGCCACTGTTTTGTGTATTGCAACATTTGTTATTCCTACGGTTATCAAGCAACCAGTAAGGTAGATTAAGAAAGCCATCTGTTCTCTACTTGTTAGTCAATATGGTGCAAATAAAGCTTTTATTTCCAGAATTAAGATTACATTTTGAATTAGGATTTAAATATATTTTTTTCTTTTTGTTTAATGTCATATATGATTGAATCTTCACACATTTAGTTTTATTTAAACATGCAAATGTGTATGGCTTTGCTCAATATCTTGCAAGAAAAGTACAACAGATGTTTAAAATTTGTTGCAGCTTGAATCTGTAAAAATGTGTGTGGTTTTTCTTTTTTCTTTTTTTTTTATACTTGGTATCCCTTAAGACCTCAATGGTTTTACATTGGTCAAAAGGAAAGTATAATATGCATTTTTTAAAAAGAAAATGAATTATGTTGATAACTGATAATCAGTAGTAGTAGATGAAAGTTTATACACACGTTCTATAATTTATTTATTGATATTATATTTAATTTTAAAGTGACCCATTTAAATAATTTGGCCCTTGTCGGTGGCTTTTTCCCCCTTGAATAAAACATGCTCTTCAAGTTTTTACATAGTAAAACTTAATTGTGGTTTATGTATAAAATATAATTGAAGATAATATAATTGAAGATTATAGTGGTAGCAGTAATAGTAGTTTAAAGATTGTATTTTCATGCTGGTTTGGTTATCAGTGTTTGAAAGAATCTCCCCAGTTATATCCACTGGAAATAACCAGAGAAATTGCTTTAAACTTGCAAACTGTGGGACTCCAGTTTGAGGCTCAGCACTTCTGATGCAGACGCAGTGTACATTTACAGAGGGTTTCCTTACAGCTCCTACCGACCAAAGAACCTACTCGCTCATATTTCATCACTTTTAAATTATCTCTTGACCCTGATGACTAGCACTTCCAGTTAGTCATGTTCCCCTGCCCTGCTCCTGTCCGCCCCCATGCAGCCCTAGAATATGTGTTCGCTTCTTTGTGGTTTGCATCCTGCCCTTCAGACTTCTTGCCAACACTTGCACTCTCCCTGTCTCCTCACATCTTCCAGTGATCATTCTTATCAGGTTCCCTTTAACTCCTAACACATAATCATCTCAAAATCCTCCATGGGTGCTTACCTTACAGATAAGGTGAGATGAAACAGCTGAACTGGCATAGCTGTTCCTGCTGCCTAAAGAGGCAGTCCTGCATTCCTAGAGCACTTAGTGCTATTGGCTGTGGCTCTTGAGTCAGTCCCTTGAATTGTCAGAAAAATAACAGCAATAAAAAGACAGTTTTTCCTGCTTTGGGGAGTTGATTCAGCCCAACGAAGGACCCAGTGAATATTAAGAGAAGAAGCAAGGAGGAGCAGGGTACAGTAAAAAGGGAGAGCGAAACAGCAAACTGGTCACTAGGAGGAAAGCTTACCAAAAATCAGATTTTTTTTTTTACATACAGTGATTGCTTTCAACTGAATTCTAGCTGAGTTGAGAAAGAAAAGATATTACATAGTGGTACAATAAATTAATATTGCTACAAAATTTGATTCAATGTTACAGAATTGTTTCTATCCATCCATCCATCCAGTGTTCAAAAGCAACTCCTGAGAGCTGCTGTTTTATTTGCATGCAAATTCTTCATTTGGTTTCTCGTTCAAACACTAGTCCAAGATGAACTGATCTTGCTTAATATATAGTCCTCCTACACTAAATACTGTTACAGCATTTTTATGTGCTTTAAAAGAATACATGTAAGTTACGATAGCTAAGCAGTGTACAAATAGTGTTCAATCTATCCCAGTTGTCAACCCAAACATTTTTTAAAGTTGACTAGCATGTCAGCATCAGACTTCAGAAGAATAAAACTGTGTTTATTCTTTAACTCATTTTTTATATTCACATATTCAAACAAATGATGTGAGATCAAGTATTATTTCTGTATTTAAAGTTTGTTTGAAATCTGATTAAATAAGATTAAATCTGGTTTGGTAAATACTATTTTCCCATACTGAAATGAAGTTATGCAGTTATTTTTAATTGCATATCATACTTTTGTTTACTAAAGGAAGTAGGTAATTGGAATTTTGGAGTGCAATTTCAGGCCTAGAACAGCAGATGGCATAATTTAACAAGCGAGTTGAAGGATTTAGCTACTGAAGTACAATATGACTTTATGTCAAAAACAGCTTTAGTTTTAAGATGATAATAAATAAAATGATTAATTAAATATGGAAAATTTATTTGAAAAGCAAGCCATGTCTGCATAAGATTGTCATGGTATTTCCAAAGTAACCAATCTTTTAAATGTTCTTAGATCTGTTAGAAAATTGCCCACTTTCTTAAAATGTTCAAGAGAGGTAAATACCATATTAGAAAGTAAAACCTATGGCATGTGGTCTGAATATACTTATTGTGTCATTTTAGTACTATATAAAGCTTTCTGTTGCTTTCGCCCAGTACCCAGCAGTTTTTATTCCATATAATTGGCATATATTGTATAGCTGATCTTGAATTTGACTTCTTTCTAGTTCTCACTTTTTCTTGAGTGGTAGTGGACCTGTAACAGAACAGCCTGGCCATTTTATAAGCATTTTCTTTAATAAAAATGGAAGATGAGGTAGGAAAGAAAAAAAATTCTTACTGTTTTATTTTCAGCCAAGGATCTCATTCAAATGGGTCTTTTGGTGCAAACTTGCTGACAATACCAAAACAAAGATCATCTTCTATGACATTGACTCATCATATAGGTCCCAGACGAGCAGGTAAGATCGTGCAATTTGTATAGCTTAGTGGCAGGATGTCAAGGTAATAGTACCTAATGTATTACAATTGGGTTTTTTCATGTAAATGTAATACTAAAATAATATCGGCATGTTGCATATATTTAAAAAATATTTTATTTTTAATCTGCCTCTAGGAGTTGACATCAACTTTGTAGAAATCTCAACTATTCACCTAATGCTATGTAGCTGCAAAGGGTTACAATGTTCAGTATGGTTTGTACCTGTTGAAAATTGCAACATTCACATACATTAATAAGGGACTTTTTTTTAGTAATTATGCTTTTTGTAATGGAACAATGTCATTTAGACACTCCTAAATACATGATAGCCATCCGAGATGAATATTTAAACAAATTTTGGAAGGAGTTGGAGTAGATTTTATTCTAACACTGTCAGTGTAATAAGCTAGTAGATACTGTAACAGCAGTGCTGAAATAATATGTATATTGGTATTTCAGAGATTGTAACTGGCCTGTTTGCCCATATTAGGTGAAAACTTGAAAACTACTTCTTCTGACATTTCTCCCTATCCTTTTAAGCATGATTTAAAAATAACAACCTGTCTAATAATTTTGTTTTATAAAAGTTCAAATATGCAGATTGGATGGAGAGAGATGAATGCACTTTTTCAATTTTTTTTTTTTTTAAACCCTCAAACTCACCAGTTTTCTCTGTATTACTTACTGATGGTTTGGTTGTTTTCTTTTCACTCTTCTAAACGCCGAGAAACATGCAAACTCAGGTCAGATCTGCATGTAAACACATTGTTGCACATTCTTAATGGTTCTGTCTTCATAAAAAGTGGGGCTGCCTTCCACACTTTTCTACTTTGAATCTTGTGGAAAATACAGAGCGCAATGATATGCATTAAAACTTGCTGAATTTATACATGTGAAAAGGATGAAAAGTAATCAACGTTAAAGTATTAATCTGTTTTAGTTCTGGGAGTTTACAAATTGTTTCTCAACATTCCAGATTTGCAGCAGTGAAGTGACGTTTGCTTTCTAAAACTTCTGTCTCTGCACCTAGCAACGTGGACTCTGAAAAATCTTGTAATTACTGTAACAAAATGTAATTACATACTCCTCTTAGGGTGTGTGTGTCAAGTCAGTGTAGCCTGTGACACTGCTGGAAGGGTATAATCTATGCATTCCTTATTTAAGTGCAATACTGTATATTGTCTTAGTAATTTGTTATCAGGCACTGTACAGTTATAAAACTTATGATGCAGGTTTTGCTTCATAGTTTGCAGCAGAATAAGTGATTCAGCTTTGGAAAGTCAGAATACCTCATTATTTTGCTCATAGACACTTTATTCTTTTTGATAGAAGTATGTTTACAATGGCTATAACTTACCTTGGGCACTTGTAGATAACCCGTCTTTTGTATATTTTCATAGGG